ACGCGATTTCTAAGGAACTAATTCGGTATTGTAATCTGTAATTTAGGCTCAACTTGCAATGTTTATTCATTATCTTTTCTTTGCTCTACGATATCAAACCAGTCTTGATTGTGGTTTCGGAAAAGAGCTGATGAATTGTTTCTCCCTCAAAAACTTGGACTAAATGGGATTATCTTCTGAGTTTGAATTCAAAACTGGAATTTTTACTTTTTTGATTTTTAGAACAAAATCAAATTTTGCTGTTGGGGTCGTGTATTCCGAATCAGAAGAGTATGTCATGGAAAGGGTCCAGAATTACTAGCTACGCTACAATCCGATTTCTGACGTCGATTTTCTTTGCACATGATGGTAAAGTTATATTTTGTTATTTATATCATTCTAATTAATTATTTGAACCTTTGACAGTTATGGCATTTTTGTGCCTAGGTGGGTTGGCAAACGGAACCATTCTACATAGAAATGTGGTAATGCAACACAATTTTCTTTCTAAATCTTTAATGTATATGATCGATTCTTAGTTTGAGTTTGGCACCCATGATGAAAATTGGAACTGGACGAATATTCGATAAGGTATGTGTGTCATCAGTACTCAATTTGATTTTTAACACCATGATTTGCTTCTTCCCCTTCAAGTTCCTCGAAATATTTTTCACGATCCTATCAGATTGGATGTTTTGGGTGTTCGAAATAGATTTTGACATTTAATAAAGGGAGTTTTTGTATATTGTTTGAAAACTGAAAGAACCACAACTTTTTTCTTGTAGATATGATTTAATGAATCAAATCATTCTTCTCGGATGATCATTTTAGTTGTAATGTTAGTTCGTTTTAGTCTCTTGCAAATAAATAAAAAAGTCACTTTACCTTGCTTATGTTATTTTCAATATTTAACAAGTGAACAGCTTATTAAAGAGAAAGGTCAGGAATATGCCAATCTTTCATGAATGAAGGTGATTTACATTTTTCAAATGGATGGACCCAAAATTTCAAGAAAAGAATCAATTAATCTCTTGCACGAAGCCCCATCAAATCACTTTCATAGGAAATATTTTGATCTTGCAAATGTATCTAATGCGGATGAGACAGGACTTTTTTTTTCGAATGACACCAAATCGGACACTTTCAAAACGTAGGATGGAAAGGAAAAAACTGGCACATGTGGCATATTTTTAGTTTCAGATTTGGTTTCTGACTTTAAGGACAAGTCTCGTATAACTTCTTGCTGTAAATTCAACTGGTACTCAAAAAGCTCCTAACGATCCAACTCGAAATTTAATATAAAATCACGATTTTACAGACACTGAAAATAATAAAGTAAAAAATATCTTTAATGAATTGTATGACATACTTGAATTTTAAAACATTTAAATCATGACAGGATAAAAAATTTTAAAAAGTTAACAATATTTGTGTATCTAATAATTGTCTTGTTCCTTAATATACATAAAAAGTTTGCCTTGTTGTTACTTTCTAAATGTAGATTTTCAATTTTTTTTCTCATGGGAAATATTTTGTTGTAAAGAAAAATGATAATTATTTTTACATTGCCACATCATGCGAATTCCCGTTGCCATCTACCGTTAGGTTTTCATCTTACTCTGCCCTTTGGACCGTTCAAAATGACTAAAAACTTAAGGCTTACCTTGGAGCCTTAGTGTTAGAATATTTTCGGGCCACGAGACCGAATAGGAAAACAAATTTGATTTTGAATGTTCTGGATAAGAAAAATTTTATTTTTAGTTGCTAATAAAATTAATCTTTGCAAAAGATTTTTCTAATTAAGAAAAAAAAGCTTTGTTGATTTTTTTAACAATCGAAATTCATAAATAACTTTTGATTCACACGAAGGTTCTTCTTTGCGATGGATCTTTTACTAAATTCATGAGCAATTCCCTTTGTATATTGTAATTTTTTCTTAAATAAATAAAAAACAAACAAACAAACAAATTTTTTGCTCAACACTACGAATAAAATAAAAATATTGACATAATAATGACTAATGTTGATGCTCCGAACAAATATATAGATATAATGTAACGTGTAAAGCCAAATAATACATAGGACGTCATTTCAGTAGTATATACGTAAAAAACAAAACCGATGCACCGTTTTTTGGCGATTTTTTGGTCGAGTAGCGATTCTATTTATATGTTTTGTTGTAATTTATTAGTCTATTCGATCAATGCACCATCTGGTCATGAAATAGTCTATTTTTATTAGATTGCATCATTGATCATGAGTACATGATAGGATACTAAGATTCTTTGGATCCAGTGCACAAACTATTGAATAATTACATAATTTTTATTGTATAATCCTGTGTAATTAAAAAAAATAAAAATTCAATACACAGTGAGTCTCGGTATAGCGGATAATTTGGGCAATTAGAACGAAAATTTCAAAAATCCGTTATACCGAGATTAATTCAAGATTTAATTAGTAAATCCGTTAAACCGAGAGAATTTACTTATAGACGGTTCTGAGCTTTGATCCGTTAAACCGAGAGTTTTATTAGACATCCGCTATACCGAGGTCCGCTATACCGAGACTCACTGTGTAAAAATTAATTTTATGTATGCTGACGCGTGTAACATCATTGTTTTTATTGTTTTTTTTTTTTCGTATAACAGTTTCTATAAAACAATCCATTAAAGCAGGCAAGTATAAAATATGCATTAATTACATCTGGCGACCCACAATATCCGACTCTTGTATTGTAGTAGCTAAGCAATTGTGCTTGTCAGCTCTTGCAGTTTGTTGTTTAGAGCAAGGTATTGAGGTTACCCTCCTTATTGAGGACCATCCTATTGGACTTCCTTATTGTAGCAGACACCTTGATCTTTGTCTCTAGTATATTAGGTATATTGTTTCCAGCTCCTGTATTGCGCTAGCTAAGTAGTTATGATTGGCAGCTCTTGCAGCTTGTTGTTTGGTATAGGGAACTGTAGAGAATACCCTTTTGTTGCGGTTTATTGACCTCCTCACTGAGAAATTCCTCCATCTTTTTACTAGAAAACATTATGCCAAGCCAGTTATGATCAGCAGCTCTTGCAGCTTGTTGTTTAGTATAAGGAACTGTAGAGGATGCCCTTTTTGTCACGGTTTATTGACCTTCTCGCTGAGCAAATTCCTCCATCTTTTTACTAGAAAACATTATGCCAAGCCAGTTATTTCTTTTTATTATATAATTGTTTACATTTATCACTAATGAATTTGTTCAACTTTATACAAATGAAGATATAGATGGTAGTATTTTAGTATTCAAAGATCAATTGAAACTGCAAAGTAGAGTTCAAAATCTAACAAAGTCAGCATGAAACAAGGCAATTAAGCTTTCTGATAACTTGGAAGCACATCAAAAATGAACTGAAATAAAACAATTTTTAATCAGCCTGGATGTTAATTTTGCACAGGTTTGTTAAAATTGTTTGTTGTTTGCTTTAATAAAATATTAAATGGGAATTTTTTAATATATAGGATCATTATAAACAAAATGTAAGAAAAAGTATTTTAACAGACAAGACAATGGCAATTGTAGCAAGCAGCAAAGAATTTGCAAAAAGTAAGCTGTTGAAAGTGTACAAATTTAATTCGATGATTATGTGATTCTGTCAGATGTCAGATTAATTTGTATTAGGTATATCATTTTGAAACCACATTAGATTGTCAGAAAAAATTTTCCATATCAAAAGATGATATATCAAACCAAAATGTGGGTATTCTTTCTTTTCTTTATCATTATCCATGCAACCAAATACTTTGCAGCATTGACAAATATCTTAACTTCATGAATTTATTTAATATGCTTATTCAGGGAATAATAAATATTTATATACAGATAAAAAGGTAATAAAGCTCTTCATGAGAACTAGATGACTTATTGACAACTTATTTGGTTTGGAAGTTGGTGTGAACTTATTAAATCATTTGGCTTGCAAGCTGGTTCATGCAGAGTTTTATTTTAAGTCAAAGAAACATTATAGACTTTATTTTCATGCATATCTTTTGAAAAATCTATCAATGACCTGGATATTTGAAATTGGAAATGAAGAAGGTGATGATGATCAAAAAGAAAATGATATGTTAATTCCATTAAAACACTATACTTTGATTGAATTTATAGGTACAATCGAACCTTGTTATAATAGATTTTTGTTATAATGAGGTTTGGCTGTATTTTTAATAAATTGTACTAAAAAATTATATTTGTTGTTGATTATATAATAGAGTCTGGCAGAAAATATCTTTGGCAATGGTCCTGTAATATCCGAAATGATGAAGAAAATATGTCTTGAACATTCAAAATTTTATAATGATGATGTAGTAGTTAATTTGAATCCAAAGTCAAGCTTTTTCAAACAATTATCCATTGATCTTATTGAAGAGTACAATGAGGAACTTGATATAATGACGGAGAATCTAATTCCTGAAAATCTCCATAACTTTCTTGTAAAATTCTTTTCAGAAAGATTATCAGAAGATGAATGGTTAATTAAAATTGATGACTTGATCTGTTCAAATAAAAATGATAAGCTTATGGTGACAATATCACGAGTGATATGGTGTATATTACCTCAATTGTATGTGCAAATCAAAGCAATTAATGTTGCTTTGTTCTAGCTCAAAAAACTTTAACTCAAATGCTTTTTCTATACTATTTTTTAGCATAAAGGCATTTTTTCTAGGACCTTTCAATCCTCTTCTCAACATTACATCTATTGAAAGACCTCATCTTAATTCTTTTGTTCACACATGCTTGGAATCCACTTTGTGGAATGTTGCCTGTGTAAGTTATGAATTTAGTGAAATTCATTTCCACAGCAATTTAAAACGTGAATATGCAGATGGTATTGGAAGGATGGTGGGACCAAATAAATACATGCTGCCCAAATCCCAAATGCACAAACTAAATTTGGGGCATTCATTGAAAAATTCCCAAATCCCAAATGTAGGTCAGTTTCTTGCTCAACCAATAAGTGCCTGGAATTTGTGAGGATGATCGGCAATCCTTTTGTTATGCTGGATGCTTATTGGACAGGAGAGCAAGCACAGGAATCTGATCTATATTTGGGATTGTGCACAAATTAGTTTGGGCAGCATCTATATGTCGAAGGGTCCAAGCCAGATGCAAAAGATGAAAAAGAAGTGGCTGATTTTGAAAAAATAACTAGAAACTTGAAGCAGATGTTCCAAAATATTATGAAGGATATTGTGAAGAATACATGATGACCTCCAGTCCAAATGACTGTATTTGGTGGGCAGTCCTTCAGACTCGGAATACATCTTTTTTATCCCAATTATTGTTGTGGTACATTGTATCAAAAGTATTTCATGTTTTTTGATATTGATGTGAATTTATTTATCATAGACAATGTTGTTGTAATTGTAGGTAGGTATTATCTAAACGAAATTGATAACACAAATCTTCCTTGAGATTTCACTGAAATGGTGGACTTTGTTTTGTTTTATGAGTGCATTTTAAAATGGGTAGAATGGTTTATTTATTTTTATTATTTTTATGTAATATTTTTCTTACATGTTCTAAAAAATTTGCTACTAAACCAATTTTAAATTCTACTATCTATATATAAATTCAGTTACTGGTTTTTAATATGACAGAAGAATTCAAAGATGCAAGAGGTCAAAAATGGCCATCAAGGAATTCATATGGAAAAAGCATGTGTTTGTTCGATGATCTGAAATCTTGACTTGCTTTTTTCTTCATAATTTGGTTTATATGTATTAGACTGACTTTTTGGAGTAGGTTTTTGTACATTTTTTAATGTTGTTATTTTTAATCCATTTCTTAAATAGGAGTTGATTTCATTATTTTCTTTTCTATCAAATACTTGATTAACTGGACTAGAAAGTAAAGATTTTTTGATTTGAATTATTGTTATTTAATTCAAATACTTGAATTATATTGAATAAAAATTTATTCAACTCATTGTTATTATGAATTTGAATTAAGAAATTGCTATTATTATTACTATTACTATTACGAATAGACAATGGACACAAATTTTTGAATACTGCACTTGTTTCATGTTCACTTGTCTGGTTTTGTTGCAGCATGCTCCATATTAAATTAGAACATTAAAATGAATGATATCTATCTAATAACTGTGATTTTCAGTTAAAAAATTAAAAATCTGAAAATCTTACAATGAGCATATATTAATATCCTTTGGCAACATCATTTGTATATTTCACCTAACACTTCCAATTGCATCATTGATAGTAAGTCTCTTACCGTTGAAGCAAGCAGTTTTTGTTTTTTGCTGGCCGCGTTGGTTAAACTGACTAATACTAAACTATTTAACTGTTAAGTCAAATTAGTTAGTCAAGACAATTATTACTAAATTAGGATTTTAACCCTTTTACGGATCTGCAACCCTCGAAATAAAGTGGCGAGTTAACCTTTCTTTTGCCGAGTTAAAGGATGACATTGGATCCCTAAAACAATTATAAATTAATTGGTATGCATAACAACACAAAATCTATTTAGCAGTGAACTCTCTTGATATAACGGATTTACTAATCAAATTCTTGCACAACAAACGCCACCTTTAAACATTTTTTATATTATGTCAATGTTAACATGTAGAAAAATTAACTAAGATAAAAAACCAAGAGTTTGGTATGGAAGGAACGAGATGTGAGTAAGTGTTATTAGAGAACAAACCCTGAGCAATGTTAATTCAAGATTAAAATTTGTATTTATTATTCTTAGATCATTATTAGCTAATGCTGAGACTACTACTACTGCTATTGCACATACTTTATCACCACCACGCAAAAAAAATGGTGCTGAATCATTTACTTCAACTCCACAAAATAATAACAATGGTGATGAGGATGAAAATGGTAATAATGGTAATGGTGACAATGATGATACTACTGGAAATTCTCTAACAGCTAATCAAATAAGAATTGTGTTTTGTAAACTTACCATTTGATATATTTTATCAAATTTGGATGAATCCCTGTTGTCTGATTTGTCAGCATTGTCACAAACATGCTCTAAATTTCACTATACCCTAGTTGATAATGTGAGAAAACCAAAAATTTGGAAGAGGACAAGATTAGCTTACTTCTACGGATTACAACAATTTCCACCACCAGGTTGGAATGAATTACGATACATTTTTTGTGGCGCATTTGAACCGACTAAAATTTATTGGCAGTTTTATTCAAGGCGTTGTACTAATTATCTAAATGAAAAAAAAACTACTGATATCAAGTAAGTAAATTTTTAATATGATATAGTTGCTTTCCGTAAATGGATTTGAAAATTCTTATTCTGTAAAGGTTACAAATATTTACAGATATCATCATTATACATATATATATATTTATTAATTATTTATATTTATTATAAAAGTTTTAGAAAATTAGATGTTATGCTTCAACCTTTCTACAACGGATTATCTTGGGCTGTGAAGAATAACGATTTCAACCTTTTCACCAGGATTGTTAAATTCTTACTAAAGATATTGTTCAGAGACAGTTGGATGTTGAAGAATATGGATTGGATGATGTTTGACGAAACAAAATTCTTTTATGGATATGAAAAAGTAATTTTGAAACTAGAATGTATTATAGATTCTCGAATAGATATAGAGGAAAATTAAACAACCTTGTATGAAATGAAACGAGTGTAAATATAGTGAGCTTCACATTTTTTTGTTAATTTAAGGATATTATCAACAAGAGAGCAAGATTTTATTTTTGTTGGAATCAAGAGAAAACCAACAAAAAAATATTGGAAAAAGCTGAAATCTTGATATATACAACATTGTTGTAAATACAAAGATCCACCACTATATCATGATGGCCCCTACACCACTTACTATGACAATTACACGTAGTGCCAGCATTAGTAAAAAAAGATTCCATTTTTAAATGTATGAAATCTGAACCTGATTCTGGTTCTAATTATGATTATGATTATGATTATGATTATGGTTATGATTATGATTATGATTATGATTATGATTATGGTTATGATTATGATTATGATTATGATTATGATTATGATTATGGTTATGATTATGATTATGATTGTGATTGTGATTGTGATTCTGGTTCTGGTTCAGTAGTTACAAAATTTGAAGCTTTAAATTCAGGTTCAGACTTGTGTTCATATGAAATACCAATATTTGAATCTGATAAATCTGATTCAGTAGATTAAAAAATAAACGTCGGATTATACATATGTTGTATAGTTCGTGTGGTCTAGAGACCTCCTAAATTTTGAGCAATTTTAAAAGTATAGAACTTAAGAACTATTTTTATATTTTAAAAATTTAACTCTGTAATTGATAGAATATGTCTCTAGCTTTAATGTGACAGAGATTTTAGACACAAAAATCATATCTAAATTTGGGTGCAAAAATCAATAATAAATGAGTTTATTACTTCTCTAATAATTCCATCGCCTACGAAAAAAGTTCCAATTGAATAATTATTATCATTTGGGCGCGTGGCGCCAATAAGAGCCATATACTATAAATTTTGATTTTAGTATCACTTTATCTGGTTTTGTTACCCAACTAATAAGTTTTATATATTGTAATGAAGATAAATGATATTTCGTTTTGCTAATTACGTATACAAAAGAAAATAATTGACCTTTGTCATAGATATTAACATGTCATGATGTCAACTTTTTTGTTATCTTAATTTGGTAAATCAAAATCAAAAATCATCAGTATTGTCCAAATCCAAATTTGGTACTTTGCTATTTTAAAAGTTCCCAAAGTCCAAACTCCTAAATTCATATGCGTTTGGGTGTAAAATATAAACAAGATTTTAAACGAAAACGTGACAGCGAGCTTCGTGTCTTTTACTCACACAACGATATCACTCAGGTCAAGACAATAATAGTCTATTTTATCAATTCAAAAAAATACAAATAGAACGGCCGTCCCCACATTTTTTTTCGTTTTTTTTTGTAGAGAAATTCCTCTCAGGCCATTTCAGCGCACGGAACTCAACTTTCTACGACGTCC